CTTTTTGCTTATGTGGTGCTGAGAAATAATTTTTATTTCCTGCTTACCACTTTGCCAGTGAGAAAAAGAATTCTTTAAACATATCAATTGTAGGTTATAATTACATTACAGGTCTTTTAATCATAACTATTTTACTATTTTTAATGACCTATACCTCTAACAGCATGTCACCTTGTCACTGAATATGTACAATCTTAAGTCAGTTTGCTCTTTGTTTTTTGCTGTTTTGTATTATGTCTTAAAATTTATTTTTAAGTAGTTGTACAAAGGGGTTTCAACTCAACATACCAGTTTATGAGCATCTTCATCAATATCATAGCCCCCTTTTTTTTGTCCTTTCAGTATTAGGATTTGAACTCAGGGCTCACTACTTGTAGTGCCAGTGCTCTATCACTTGAGCTACTTTTTTGCTTTTAGTTTATTTTCTCAGTAGGATCTTCTGCTTTATTCCTGGGGTTAGTCTCAGACTATAGCTCTTCTGTCTTGGCCATTCTTGTAGCTGGGTTTATAGGTATGTTACCACTATGCCTGGCTTGTTGAGACGGGATCTCTGTTAACCATTCATTTATTCCTTTTTTTGTTTATTTATGGCCTTAAACCATAATATCCTGTCTCCTCCTCATGTATAGCTAGGATTATAGGCATGAACTGCCATGCCTGGCCTTGCGCTGGCATTATTCATTTCCAGGTGTTTTTTTGTTTTGTTTTGTTTTTTGTGAGTTGTGGGTCTTGAGCTCTGGGCCTGGGCACTATCCCTGAGTTCTTCAGCTCAAGGTGAGCTCTCTACCATTTGAGCCACCGTGCCACTCTCAGTTTTCTGGTGGTTAATTGGAGATAAGAGTCTCATAGACTTTTCTTCCCCGGCCTGGCTTTGAACTGCGATCCTCAGATCTCAGCCTCCTAAGTAGCTAGGATTAGCGACATGAGCCACTGGGCTTCATCTCAGATCTTGAGTATCCAAAGATCAGTTTGTTGAGATAAAAGCTGTAACCTACTACGTGGGGACTATATTTGTAGGAACTAGAATTAGAATGGTGAGGTATATTTACAGTGTGCTTTATGAGTTTACAAATCCCTGACAGGTAAAATTATTTATTTTTTTTGAACATTATAAAAATTGAGCTCAGCTGAGTGTAAATAGCTCATACCTATAATTCTAGCTATTCAGGAAGCTGAGATTTGAAGATTGAGTTTGCGGCTAGACGGGACAAGAGATGCTTACCTCCAATTAGTGAGCAAAAAGCCAGAACTAGAGATGTGACTCAAATAGTAGAGTACATCTGTAAATAAAAAGGGCTGAGCTGGACTGGGAATGTGTCTTAGTGGTAGAGTATTTACTTAACATGCATGAAGCCTTGGGTTCAATTCCTCAGTACCACATAAACAGAAAAAGCTGAAGTGGTGCTGTGGCTCAAGTGGTAGAGTGCTATCCTTGAGCAAAAGAAGCTCAGGGACAGTGCCTAGGACTTGAGTTCAAGCCCCAGGACTGGCAAAAAGGGTGGGGGGGGGGAAGCTGAGAGCATGTAGCTGAGAGCATGTTGAGCAAGAATGCAAGATCTTGAGTTCAAGCCCCACTACAGGCACAGACACACACACAGACACACACACACACACACACACACACACACACACACACACACACACACGAAAGTTGAGTGAATTATTTTGCTTATGTATCCATCCATCCACCCACCTACTCACCTACCCATCCATCCATTTTTACTTATACTTACTTGAAATGAAGCTTTGCTTTCTTGCTCAGGTTGTTTTTGAGCTCATGATCCTCCCACCTCAGCCTTTTGAGTATCTGGGACTACAGGTGTGCACCATCGTGTCTAGTGATCTCAATTTTTCTTTCTTATTATTTTAGAACATTTGAGAAATGTTTTTAGATTACTCTCCAATGCATCTAACATTAACGGTTTGTACTTTATATTCTTTATATTATATTTGTATCACTCAATATTTATAATATTCAGTTGCTTTTCTACAAGAACAATTTATTATTCAAAAATCACTTTTTTTTCCCCCTCCTTTGGTCAGTATTAGAATTTTGAGGTTTTGGACTCAAGATCTTGTGCTGGCTAGGCAGACAGTCTACCACTTGAGCCATGCCTTCTAGTTCTTTTTGGGTTTACTTATTTTTTTTTCAGGTAGAGTCTGGTGCTTTTGCCCAGGAAGATCTTAGACCATGATTATCCTATTTATGCCCTTCTTTGTGTGGGGCCGGGGGTGGGGGGGATCCCAACACATCATCATTCCATGGCTTATTTGCTTAGATGAAGTCTCACTAACTTTTTGTTGGGCTGTCCTTGAACTTTGATCCTCCTAATCTCTGTCTCTAGAGTAGGCATGAACCACCTCTCCCAACTCTATTTACTTCTAATTAGAATTAAGTGGATTACAAAGAAATATTTTACTTTTTTTTTTTTTTTGGTCTAGTCGTGGGGCCTGAACTCTGGGCCTGGGTGCTGTCCCTCAGCTCTTCAGCTCAAGGCTAGCACTCTACCACTTGAGCCACAATGCCACTTCTGGCTTTTTTCTTTTTGCTTATGTGGTGCTGAGGAATTGAACCCAGGGCCTCATGCATGCAAAGCAAGCGCTCTACCACTGAGCCACCTTCCCAGCCCTCTATGTGGATTTTATAAAGACTATTTGAATGGATGTTGCAGGAGGAGGAGGATTATAATAGGGAGATGGAGGGATGTTGCAATATGGAGGCCACTCTTGACCAAAACATCTGGAAGCATCTGCTTATATTTAAATGATAGTAGTTTAGAAGAGTCTGATGGCTTAATTCTTGATGTCAGCTGTTGGCTTCTCCATTATTGTGATCTGATTTTTAATATAATTTTAGAAAAGTGAATTGCTATACTTTTGTCATTGGTAACTATTTGGATCAATTTGCCTCTAGGCCAAACAGCAGTTGAACCTGCGTACACATATGGCTGATGAGAATAAAAATGAATATGCTGCACAGTTACAAAACTTTAATGGAGAGCAACACAAACATTTCTATGTGGTAATTCCTCAGATTTACAAGGTAAGTTTTATCCATATGGTTTTATCTAGTTTGAGTGAAAAGAATTAGCATTTAATTTTTTATTTTTTTATACTTTTTTATTGTAAAAATGCTGTACAGAGGGGTTACAGTTACACGAGCAAGGTAATGAGTACATTTCCTGTTGAGCATTGTTGCTTCTTCCTTTGTTTTCCCCCTACCATCTCTTCCCTCCCATCCAACTACATGTGCCTCCCCCCGCCCCCCCCCCAGCATTTAATTTTTTTTCCCCTCAGTTTTGTAGGTTAAATCCAGGATCTTGTGCAGGTTAGAGGGACATTTTACTACTGAGCTAAATGCCCAGCCATAAAATTTAAAATTTAAACCTTATACATCAGAGTTTTCTAAGTTTACTAGTTATTAGGAATGGTGATCTGAGGAGTAAATTTTTTGTTACTTTTAAATCATGAATTTTTCGAATTATTGTTATAAATAGCGCACTAAAACATATTATGATCTGTTTACCTAGAATTGGGATGTAGCTTTTTGATCCCACATCATTAGCACAAGTGGCAGGAATAAAAATAAATTGTTTCTGCTAGTCTGATTTCTGGCTGCTTGTCTTGTTGCCTCTGTTAGATCACAGCTAAATTGTAATTCAGGATCATCCTTTAATGATAACAGATGCCAAACAGGTAAAGACCAGAGACCTTTCATCAAGATAAAATTACATTAATGCTTTGTTTAGAAGAGAAATTAGGGGAAAGAGATTTAGTAAAACAGTGTTGCATGTAGTTGTACCTAGGAGAATGGAGTGTATGTAGAATGTCAGCCCATTGATACTTATTTTTCCTTTGTAAGGCATTATGGAAGTACAAAGGAAGCAGAGCCTGTGTTGGTAGACTAGAATTGGATATCAGATTCTGATCACTTACATCTGGAGCAGCAAGCCTGCCTGTCCTCACTGTAATGACTTTCTAGGCTTACTAGCTGTTTTCATAGTCTAGGGAAGTCTGTAGTAACTATCTTTTGTGTTCTGGTGCCTGATTATTTTGTTTGGAATTTACTGTGGAATAACCTCGGTATTTTTCAATGCCAGGAGCCTTTTTTTTTTTTTTTTTTGAATGCAGGTCTCAAATTTCCAGGTTTTGGGAAGTAATTAAAAAGGAACTATGGTGTGAAGGCTATGGGAATTTGAGGACTTGAGCAATGTAGCTGCTTCCTCGGAAAGCCAAAGGTTATTGTTGGCAAAAAAAGAAAAATTATCAAAAAAGAAATCATTAAGCTCTTGAACTTCATTGCCCCAACTAGTGGCCATGGATTTTGAATTGTGGGGGTTCTATTGTATTGCCATTTTGGCCATGTGACTTCCTGATTTTCTTGTTTCCTAAGCTCTTTAGTAATTACTATAATCATTAAATTATGGTTGTCTTGGTACTCATTTGCATGTAATCAACTGCAAATGCTTTGTCTAGCTAGATTGTACCAAAATATTCTAAACTCATTTAAGAGATTGAAGGTCTTAGCCTTAAGTGTGTAATGATTGAGATAAAGGTCTTACATCTTCAAAAGGAATTTTACTGGAGATAAAACAACTCAATAAGAACTACCCTGGGTTAGCTGTAGAGTGCTTGCCTAGCATGCACGAAGCAGTGGGCTCAATTCCTCAGCAACACATACATAGAAAAAGCCAGTGGTGCTATGGCTGAAGTGGTAGAGTGCTAGCCTTGAGCAAAAGAAATTCGGGACAATGCTTAAGATCTGAGTTCATTGAGTTCAAGTCTCAGGACTGGCAAAAAATTAAATGAAAGAACTACTTTGGAGGGTAAAAGGTAGAAGAGGTATGGTCAGAAATTTGGTAGCTATAGGAGTAATTTTAGAAGACATTATTGCTTTGTTTTTGAATGTACTAAAGCCCTGAGGATTTCTTTCTTTTAGTAATTTTTATGAGGCCTCAAATTCTAAGAATTATAAGTCTATATAGCACTTGTCAAGAAGTATTAGAATAGATGTCTTCAATTATTTGAGGCGAGTCACTTCAAAGTGGTAAAGCAAAACAATTTTTCTTTTCTTTTTAAAAAAAATTTCTGAATAGCAACTACAAGAAATGGACGAACGAAGAACTATTAAATTAAGTGAATGTTACAGAGGATTTGCAGATTCAGAACGTAAAGTTATTCCTATTATTTCAAAGTGTTTGGAAGGAATGATCCTCGCAGCAAAATCTGTGGATGAAAGAAGAGTAAGTGCTGATAAGTCTTTGAATAAACACATTTGGTTTGGGTGTATGTTTAAGTTAATGAAGTGAGATGAAAAAGTAATAAAATGATCTTGGTTCTAAGTTATATTCTTTAGGACAAAGTCTTACAACAAGTTAGACTCTGGACTCTCAGTTATATTCTATAGGAGACTGAATTTTAAGGACTATTCAAACTGCTACATTTCTAAATCTGAAAAAAATATATTCCTAGCTCTCTTGTTCCCCCACTAATTTTTCACTTCTCTTTGTCTCTCTGTCTCTCTCTCTCCTTTCTTTCCTTTCTTTTCCAATTCTGGGACTTGAACTCAGGGCCCGAGTACTGTCCCTTCTTTTGCTCAAGGCTAGCACTCTACCACTTGAACCACAGCGCCACTTCTGGCTTTTTCCGCTGAGGTGGTACAGAGGATTCGAACCCAGGGCTTCATTCATGCTAGGCAAGCACTCTACCACTAAGCTACATTCCCAGCACTAATTTTTCATTTCTAACCCAAGAATGTATCTTATGAACTTTTTGTTACAAATTGCACTATTTAGTGAAAGTTTAGAGAAAGATATGGTTGGGTAGATTTAGTTAGCAGAATGACTTGAACACAGGAGTTGGTATTTAAGCTGGATCAAGAACTGTGGGCTGGGAAGGTGGCTCAGTGGTAGAGCGCTTGCCTTGCATGCCTGAGGCCCTGGGTTCGATTCCTCAGCACCACATAAGCAAAAAGAAAAAAAGCTGGAAGTGGCGCTGTGGCTCAAGTGGCAGAGCGCTAGCCTTGAGCTGAAAAGCTGAGGGACAGCACCCAGGCCCAGAGTTCAGGACCATGACCAGACCCCCCCCAAAAAAAAAAAAAAAAGAAAAAAAAAGAACTGTGGATCAAAGACTTTGTATGTAGAGGAAATGGGAAATAAATCTAATCATATTGCATCTAATTAAGGTATAACCCTAGCTATGGGAATTTGGGGACTTGAACAATGTAGCTGCTTCCTAGGAAAGCAAAAGGTTATTGTTGACAAATAGCAACTGTAAAAAAATACCAGTCTTGTGTCTGGTGATTTTTCAGTAAATATGGGTTGTCCAAAAAAGTATGATTCGCTGAAAATGAAAATACGAGGGAGGAACAAGAGAAAAGAATTAGTTTTGTGGGGAGATATCACATATATACCACGTATTTTAGTCTTCCCAGCAAGTGTATCAAATAGATATTAGTGATGATCCTTTAGTAACTAGTAGAATCCTTAAATTTACAGAAAAGGAGAATTTTTGGCTTCTTCAGTTGGGAGTTCCAAAGTATAGACTTGTATGTTGTATTGTGTGTGTGAAACGCATATGTAGGCTATTTGTAACTTTCAGGTATTTTTCTATTGGGATTAAAATACTGAGGGCTTATTATAAATTCATAGAAAATTATTTACATTGAACTTTTGGTGATTATTATAGAAGTATGTCTTAAATCTTTATTTCCTTATATTGATTAAAGTTTTGAAAACCAATATGGTATTATGGGCAGATGAAATGGTTTAAAAATTTTGTTTCTTGTATATAGGATTCTCAAATGGTGGTAGACTCCTTCAAGTCTGGTTTTGAACCTCCTGGGGACTTCCCATTTGAAGATTACAGTCAACATATTTACAGAACCATTTCTGATGGGACCATCAGCACATCCAAACAGGAGAGTGGGAAGATGGATGCCAAAACCACAGTAGGAAAGGCCAAGGGCAAATTATGGCTCTTTGGAAAGAAGCCAAAGGTAAAAGTCATAAAATTCCTATATACTAATCAGATTTTCCTAGTAAGTCAATGAATTAATATAGGCATTGACTGGATAAGAGCTTACTATTAAAGGAGGATAAATATTTTCTGTTTGAATGATTTGCTTACCTTTCACTTATTATCAAACAGTTTATATCAGTAAAAATTACTTGTATATTTAACATTTGACCACCACATAATGATGAAATATTAACTAAGTTGTTAATTTCTGGTTAAATTGTAGGCTTTTTGAAATTTTATTTGCATATAGTTCCATCAGAATTTCTAAGGAGGCATGATCTGACAAAAACACCACTAAAATAGCCAGTCTTGGAATGAATGGTTAACCAGAGTTTCAATAAGTGTCAAATTGGATCATGTAGCCTGGACTGACAAAATTACTTCTCTTATCCATATGAGTTTTTAAATGAGAAAGGAAGGGTTCTGTTCTTGATTAGTTGAAATAAAAAATGATCTCTAGCTTGCTAAGAAAATTTCACTCCTCTTGTCAAACTTGGGCTTTTTATGTGTCATTTGTTTTAGGTAGGTAAACAGCCTAGCAGTCATCAAATGGATTAATGAGTGGTTTGTCCTTCTCCACAGTTAAGTGCTTGTAGTTGTGTCATAGCAAGGAGAATAGATGGATACCTTTAGTCTGATGGATATGCTATACTTACAAAGAATACTTGATAACTTTAAGTCTTTGATCAACTTGATTATGAATAGCTATAAATGCCTTTAAAAGCACAGTTGCAGTTTGATCAGGCTTTAGTCTTTTAGTCTTTAGGCTTTTAATAATATTGTCCAGTCAAGAAGCTGGAAATTAGTAGACTTTTTATAGTCAGAGTAGCTATCGGAGTTTGAGGTACAAGTAATACAAAAAATTGCTTTAAAGAGGATGAAATAAGTGTAATATTCAAATAGTCTGAGAAGGGAAACCATGCACATAATGAAAATATCTGGCCTATTTATGATAATAATCAATTGCAATTTTAGTATTATGTGTGATAACACTAGCCATACCCGCTGCTTTTATCTCTGGACAAGGACAGGTTAGATATGCCTGTATAAGAATCTGTCGTGGTACTGAATCTCTAGACATCAGAAGAGAACTTAAAAAAATCTACCTCACATTCTTTAGTGTATTTTTATTTTTAGTGTATCAGCTTGTAAGAAATCAAGTGAAATGGTATAATTTTAAAAGTAAAGTTGACGTTTAAAATGGTAGTTTTGGGCAAAAATTTGTTCACTTTTTAATAATAATAAACATTTTATTTGAGGTATATTTTGTGAAAAGTATGTTACCAAAAATAGAATTTTCATTTAGGAAAGAACTATGCACATTTGGCTTATTGATTCCTTTCTTTATTTCCATATTAGCCACAGTCCCCACCCTTAACCCCTACTAGTTTATTCACATCCAGTACTCCTAATGGGTCCCAGTTTCTCACTTTCTCCATTGAGCCCGTGCATTATTGTATGAATGAAATAAAAACAGGGAAGCCCAGAATTCCTTCTTTCAGAAGCCTCAAACGAGGGGTAAGTTTAATGATGGGTTGAAATGCATGATGGCCTATTGTGTGTGTAGTGTGGCTTTTAATACTCTCCACCCTCATTATAAGGCTCCGTTAAAAACACCACAGAATCAAGTAGAGATGTCCCGAGTTAAATACAACTCCTCTTGGTAACATTTGAAATGCTCAACCCTAAAAGAAATGGTATTATAAAGAGGGTGTTGGGTACAATCATATTTTAGCTATTTTTTTCATTTATGTGAAATCATATGTCCACCATTGTCTTGTAACGTATTTACATTTTTAAGACTTTCAGTAATTTGTCACTGGAGTTACTCTTGTAATAATTTGTCAGTAATGATAACTACACCTGACAATTTAAAAATAATACTTTGTTGACAGTAAAATGTCATGCTTGATTTTAATTGCCCTTTTTACTTTTAGAAGCAGAAAACATAATTTTGAAAAGCTTAATAAACTATGATATGATGACATCTGTCATCTCAGCACTTGGCAAGTTGAGTCAAGAGGGTTGCAAGTTCAAGACCACCTGGGGTGCAGGGAAATTAACTGTTTTTGAGACTGTCTCAAAATAAACTAAAGTTTAAACATAGGCATATTAAATATAAAGACTGCTTATAAAACATATCAGAAGATACTTCAGAAATTTTAAAGCCTAGAAAAATACTTCGGTATTACTGAGTAATGTTTACATAGAATTTGCTTTCTTGAACCTTTTTTTAAAAAAAAACCAAACAATTTTTACCAGAATTTTCTCATTTTTTCTTTTAAAAATTGGCTAGTTTGTGACATTTGCATACATCAGAGAACTCAGCCAATGAAAATTTATATAGACTAGCAAAATGCAAATACAATATTGTTTCTTAGCAACAACTATACTGTATTACTGATAATTGTTACTCTGTTGGTGAAACTAACCCCCTTTCCTATCCTCCCTCCCTTCTTTGTGGGAGTTGATCCCAGAGCTTTGTATATGCTGAACACTTGGTTCTACCACTGAACTCCCAGACCACTAAAATTTGAGTTGACCTTTATTTATTTACTATTTTATTTTATTTTTTTTGGTTGGTTTTGGGGCTTGAATTCTGGGCCTGGGTGCTGTCCCTGAGCTCTTCAGCTCAAGGCAAGCGCTCTACTCTTGAGCCACAGCACCACTTCTAGTTTTCTGGTGGTTAATTGGAGATGAGAATCACATGGACTTTCCTGCCCTGGCTGGCTTTGTACTATGATCCTCAGATCTCAGCTTCCTTAGTAGCTAGGATTACAGGCATGAGCTACTGGCGCCTGGTATGACCTCTAATGTTTGAGTTTTAAGGTGTGTTCTTAATATTTCTAGCCTATAGTTTATTTTCATCTGTAAGATTTGCCTGACATTTGGAAAACCTAAATATGATAATCATAGATGAGAAATCAGTGTCTTATCACTGTCAAAAGTCTGATTATGCTAGATATGGTAGTACACACCTATAATGCATGCCTATAGTCCCAGTACTTGGAGGTGAAAACTTGTTGGATCATGAGGTCCAGGCCAGCAGGAGCTACATACATAGTGAGATCCTGTCTCAATCCCCACCCCCATCCCCCAATAAAAAAGAAGTCTAATCCTTAACAGTAATACATCAAAATTGGATTTTTCCCTCCCTTCTCTCTCTCTGTCTCTGTCTCTCTCTCTCTTTTTGCCTTCTCTTTCTTTTTTCCCTTTTTTCCTTTCTTTAGCTTTTTCTGATCTCAAATTGCATTTTGGACATCTGTAGAACAAAGTATGTTTGCTTAGTCAAGATTATATTATTATCTACATTTCTGTTAAAACAATATAACAAAAAAACTTACCTGGAGTCAGTAGTGTAGAGTAACATTCTAGTATGTTACTAGAAGTTACAAAGGCTATGTCGCCTTTGTGACTTTTTTCCCCTTGGAAGTGTGAATTTGTGTGCATCTGCCTAACCTAATTCTGTATGAGTACAGAATAGGCTAAAGAGTCCCTGTGGATGAATCTGCATTACTCCTCCCAGTATGCTAGTCATCACTTCCCATAGACCCTTAAAACTTGTTTGAAAGAAATCATATTCAGAATTTCTGTTGCCTGAGTTAGGGTAGAATGGGTAGAATTAATTCTTGTGTTGTTTCTCTGTGCCATAGATAGGAAGTGAGTATAATTCTATTAAAAAAATAGTTTCGCTGGGCACCATTAGCTTATACCTGTAATCCTAGCTACTCCCGAGGCTAAAATCTGAGGATCACAGTTTGAAGCCAGTCCAGGTAGGGAAGTCTGTGACACTAATTTCTAGTTAGCCACCAAAAAGCCAGTTAGCCACTAAAAAGACACAAGTAGAGCTGTGGCCTTGACCACAGCTAAGGGACAGCAATCAGGCTTCACATTCAAGCCCTGGTACCAGTACCCCCACACCCTCCAAAAACAAAAAACTTCACACATTTAGAACTAGTTTAAATTTTATTCTATTTTTTAATTTTTATGGCACTGAACATTGTACCCAGAGCCTGCTGCTTGGCTAGATGAGTACTTTACCGCATGAGCTACACCCCAAACTCAGTATCTTCATTCTTGTTGAACTTTGCAGGTAGAGTTTTACAAATACAGTGAATTTTACAGTAATTAAAATTATTGGCTTGATCATTATTTTTTATATGTTGCTTTAATTTTAAATATTCACATATTTTTATAGGGACCTAGTATTAGAAGGCTGAAATTTCCTTCTGGTTTTAGTATTAGTATCCTAGCAAAGAAGCAAGCAGCATGTTTGAGACACCCCAGTTGGGGAGTGGGGAGTAAATGATGCATAAGATGAAAGTATGCTGTGTTGGATCATTGGCATTGAGATTTTGTTGTTGTTTCAATTGCTATTTGGAATTTTACTAGATATCAAAACTAACCCAGAGATCTTTTTCTTTTGCTTAAGAATTTTATCAATACAGATGAACTCAGAAGAAAGTAAACTTTAAATAAGTCAATTTATGTGTTTTTTTAACATGAATTTTTGTACCCATTAACTTTATAGAATAGGTCTTGAGGTTTCTTAAGGCTCGTGAGATATTCAGGAACTTGCTTCTGTATTTGTTAGACATTGTAGTGTCTACATTTCCCAGTATCAGTAAGGAGATGAGGATTGTCACATGAGAGTAATGTTTTTGAGCTTGACTTTGGGGCCAGTGGATTTTTCTGAATGCTAATTTCTTTCTGTGAGTTTACAGTATAACCTTTAATGGATATTTGGGGAATATATCTATGCCTAATTTTAATACATAAACTAACATTTTTACCCTAAACTACTACTTTTGGTTTTCATTAAATCATTCCTCTTTAAAGTAATAGATCTATCTAGTAATAGGAAGTACATATTTTGTGTCTTAAACTATTCATGACCTTATAGACTTCCAGAGTTTTTTTTGTGCCTGGTCTGGGGCTTGAACTCAAACTTGGGTAATGTCCATGAGCTTCTTTGGC